CTCTGGAATGTGTGCTGCACTCCACCTTTCGGTGTCCGGAAATAGGTGTTGGTCAGGGAGAGTTGGTTGTCAGATGCCAGTCCAAGGAGTCGTTCCCCGTTGTTGTTCATAATGTCGCGTCCGTACGCGCCCATAATCTTGGCATCGCAGCACCCGTCTCGCCTCCTACCAGTACGTGCGTTGGCGTCCATTAGCACCAAGAGAGGGTCACGGCTGTGAACCTCCCGGATCGCTGCGTCGAGAGCAGTCCAGAAGGAGTCCTTGGCGTTAACATCACCGCCCGCGGTGGTGCGGACAGTTTCCGTGGGGGCGTACCCCACCACGAAAGTTACTCCGCAGGTGCGGCCAATTTGTAGACGCACCTTCATCAGCCTCGGGCTAATGCACTCCACCGTCCTACCTTCCTCGCCCACACTCTCCCACATGGCCTCCTTGATCGCTATGCCCACACCGTGTACGCCGCTCTTGTCCTTGGTGCCAGCACGGGCGCCACTCCAGATGATCACGTACCCGTCGTGTGCAATTGAACCTTGCCCCTCTCGTCGGGTCTCCTGAAGTCCTATCACATCACAGCCGGTCGCGGAACAAATCTGCATGACCGTCATCACGTTGTGGCCGATGGGGTTCCTACCGCTGTAGGCGGGCGTGCGGACGTTGAACGTGCCGAACGATAGGTCGCCCTCTCGTGCCTTCTTCATCGCGGCCACCTTGACGACCGCTGCGGTCTCGTGTCTCTCTCGGTCCGCCTCGCGTTGCGGGTGTGCTTTCTTCCGTATTATCCGAGCGGCGGGTTTCCTCGCATCAATCCATCTGTTAGAGCTCGGTTCTTGCCTGTGGTGTTTTGACTAGAAAGGTGCAGCACTCCCTTTCCGCGGTGCCCGCGGTTGTCTCCCTTCTCCCGCGAGCGGTGCTTACTGACGTGGTGTTTACGAATCTCTCTACTCCTCCAGCTTCGTGGGCCACGCTTTCCGCGACGGTGGTTGCCAGCTGCTGTTTGCCGCTTTGCATTACTGCCGCGGGAACAGTGTCCATACACACCTCTCGCCACTACCACCGTCTGTGCATCCTCACCGCCACGCTGAGCCAGCGCGGCGGTGAGTTGCACCTTGGGACACCACCCGTCTACTATCTGTTGTGGCCTGGTTCGCGCGCGAGGGAATCACTAGGTCGATTTCGGCACCGGCCGGGGAGCGGGCATCCGCGAAACATGAAACATTTACAACCGTTTTTCCTTGTGCGAAATTTGTGCTGTCTTGGTAGAATTTGTAGACGGATGGATGGATGTAATCGAAGCACAACGAAGGCGAATTTCTACGAATTGATCCGTGTTTTGTACAGTAAATGAAGATGCGTTCCACAGATAGGTTTGGTTCAATGAATTTTTTAATGCTTTGCGTTGTGCGGGGGGCATAAGTACTTTGCGGGTGTCGTTGCGGTGAAGTGCTGAGATTTGTGTTTTGATTTGTGTTTTTATTAATAGCATCGACCGCGCTAACCGGCTGACCAATGAAAACGTCAGTCTCAGTGCGGTTGAAAACACAAAACACTTTTATCTGCCATGAACTGGGACCCCGTGAGGAGGCAGCATGGGGGAGGCTAAACTATCCTTCGGATCAAAGACAGAAACAACAGCAACAGAAGAATACTGCACGTGTCTACCAGGCTACTACCTTGTACTCGAGTTCGTTTAGGAGTACTTTCACCATTGTCTTCCTTGTTTTCGCTACCATCATTCTGTTCCTCATTTTGACAAGAATCTCTGGGCAGTTCTTCCCTAGTCCTACATTTTTCCTTTTGGGGAAGGTCATCTGGCTCAAACCCTTTGCTCTCTTCCACTCCTCCATGTTTTCCTCCTCCATCGCCGTCTTCGCCTTCCTTTCTTCCCTTTCTCTTTCCTTCGTCTCCGTCACTCCCAAAAGAATTACCCTCATTACTATCGTTGTCGCAGAGAACCAAACCGATTGGCCCTGGTGGACGTTGGTCGATCAGTAGCCCATGACGTTTGAAGACATCGCGAGTTCGCACCGACAGACAACGAGCTAGCTCGAAGTGAAGGTGAACCGTCTCCGAATCCTGTAGTCTAGACTAAGTATGAAAAGCTTTCAGGTGGACTAACGCTTTTTCGTCGTCAAAATTCCCCCGGCAAAAAGCTTCGTGCGCCAAGTGGTTGGCG